ACCTGTATCATGAGGCCACTGGTCTCTCCCTCACAAGAAAGAAAGAAAGAAAGAAAGAAAAGTTGCCCAACCGCGCGTGTACCTGTATCATGAGGCCACTGGTCACCCTCATGCCACACACACAGTTGACCACGTCTGGTTTACAAGAAAGAAAGAAAAAAAGAAAGAAAGACAGAAAGGTAGCAACGGTGCCCAAGCAGCTTGCACCTGTATCATGAGGCCACTGGTCTCTCCCTCACAAAAAAAAAAGAAAAAAAAAAAAAAAAAAAGAAAGAAAGAAAGTAACGTTGCCCAACCGTGCGTGTACCTGTATCATGAGTCCACTGGTCTCCCTCATGCCACACACACAGTTGACCACGTCCGCCTCCCCCTCCTCCTCCTCTGTGTCCGCCGTCGCTCCTGTCGCAGGTTCTTCCTGGCTCCCTCGGGGACGCACGTCTGGATGCACGGGTCAAGATAATAAAAACAACGATAACAAAAACAATAATACTATACAAAAATAACATAACAATAAAAATGATAATTATAATGATAATAATAATGGTAACAATAACAACAACAATTTAAAATATAATAATTTAAAATTAACATAACAATAATAATGATAAAAATAATGATGATGATAATAATACCATTTTTAATAATAATGATGATTGTGTTAATAATAATGATGATGATAATAATACGATTTTGATAACAATGATGACCTCCCCTCTCAACATACCCCCTCCCCCCCCACCCCACCTCCCTAAAACCGCGACCCCTGACCTGCCCACGTGTCCCTGGCCACTACGTCCGGGCTAGCTGTGGTGACGGAGATCTCCGAGTCGTGTCGCCGCCGTTTGCCCGATGACTTCCCCTTGGAGGACACCGAGATGTCCGAGTCTGTCGAGCCTGGGGACAGGTGGGCCAGTATACAGGGGTCAAGGTCAGGGAGAAAGAGGTAACTTTGTCGAGAACAACACCCATAAAGCCAATCAAACATATAACAACAACAGAAAAAATTAATCCGAAATTTAAAAAAAATATTTTAAGTCATGAAGTTTGATAGGAAAGAAGGAGGAAAGAGATGGAGGATTGATGTTTGACAAGAAAGAAGGAAGAGAGATAAGGATGATTGACATTTGATAAAAAAGAAGGAGGAGAGATAAGGACGACAGATGTCTGATAGGAAAGAAGGAGGAGAGATAAGGATGATAGATGTTTGATAAGAAAGAAGGAGAAGAGATAAGGATGATAGATGTTTGATAAGAAAGAAGGAGAAGAGATAAGGATGATAGATGTTTGATAAGAAAGAAGGAGAAGAGATAAGGATGATAGATGTTTGATAAGAAAGAAGGAGCAATCCACACCAGCGCTCCCTGCAAACCACCCACACAAATAGAGCTCCCCCCCTCTTGGAACACAACTTACAAATACTACTGGTCTTCTTCCGTCGTTTCCTCGTGTGCGGCGTGGGCACGGGCGACTGTATCGAGGAACCCGCGCCGCCGCCCCCGGACCGAGGTTGCAACGACTGCGAGGCCATCGGTCCCCCGTGGGGGCTGCTCGTCCCCACCCCAACCGCTGTTGTTGTCGCAGTGGCTGACGACAACGACGACGAAGATGCTGTTGTTGTGGTCGCTGTCCCGGCTGTTGTAGCCGCAGTGCTGTTGCTGCCGTCGCTGTTGGCGTCCGAGTGGTAGTACTTGATGTGGTAGGCCAGCAGGTTCTCCTTGCGGAAGTCCTTGTTGCAGCCGTGGTGTGGGCACTTGAAGGGGTTGTGGTCTTCTTCCACGATGAACGCCTTGGACGGCACAAATACCACGGGGGCAACGGGGGTGGCCAGGGTCATGTCTGAGGACGGGTTTGTTGAGAGATACCTACAGTCCAGCACCCAAATAGCCAAACACGCACATACTGCAACACGCATATAGTGAAATATGCACATAGAGAAACACGTACCTAGTGTACACGAACATAGTGAACACAGGGAAACACGCACATAGTGAAACACACACATAGCGAAACACGCACATAGTGAACACAAACATAGTTAACACAGTGAAACACGCACATAGTGAACACGAACATAGTGAACACAGTGAAACACGCACATGGCGAAACACATGTACCTAGTGAACACGTACCTAGTGAACACAAACATAGTGAAACATGCACAAAATGAAACTCACTATCACTTAATTAACTGTGACTATAAACTGACTAATTAACTGTAAATTATCTGTAAACTGACTGATCGGTAAATTAACCAATGCACTGACTAACTATAATATAACTGTAAACTGACTAGCTAGAAACTGACTGTAACTGTTAACTAATTATCTGTGCACCGTCTGTACCTGTAAATTAAGTGTGTATGTTTGTTGTAACAAACTGTAAACTAATTGTAACTGTAAATTAAGAGTAAAAGTAAACTAATTGTAACTAAATTAAGTGTCAAAGTAAACTGATTGTAACTGTCCACTAACTGCACCGCGCACTGACCTTGACTGTGCCCCAGGCCCGTGTCCATGGAGCGGGCCCGCGGAGATTCGCCCACGGCCGGCGCCCGCTTCCTCTGTACGGGCACGTCGCTGACAGACTTGAGCTTTGACCGCTTGCGCTGGGCAGTCATGTCCAGTCCCGTGCCCGCCCGCCTCCTCTTCTTGCTCCTCTTGCCTGAAATATAAAATTTTTTTTTTAACCCCTGGTGTTTTTACATCCCCATCGACACAATTTAGATAGTTTAAGAGGCTCGTTAGAAACAGTTATCGGCACAATTTAGATAATTGATCATTTAGGAGGTTGCAGGTTTGGGTAGAGAGGGATACAACATTCGAGCAGAAAGACGGAGATACTCCATGAAAATTCTTCCCACTTGGGAATTGAACTAGTTTAGTTTTAGTAAGGTTTTTACAGCGCTCACAGCAGGATAAGATCATTAACAAAACGAATAGGTCACAATAGTGATGTAGATTACAGGTGTTACTAGAGAGTACCAAACAAACAAATGAAGGAGGAGAGATGAGGACCATAGAGATTTTTGATAAGAAAGAAGGAGCAAACCACACAAGAGCACCTGCCAACCACACACACAATGATATCGCAGAGATGATGAAGTGTCGAGGGATGTCATTCACAATGGGTCAACACAAAAAAGCCCCACCCCCCAAAAAAAAATATTTAAAAAATAGAAAATCTAAAAAAGCCAACC